TAAACAATCATATATATATATATATATATATATATATATATTTTAAAAGAAATACCTTTCCTTATGTTCGTGCAGTATGCATGCGACTTTTGTCCTAAATGCAAATTCATTTTTTCATTTTCAGGAAATCCAACCTGCCCATATACTAGGATGATCTATTGCTTTTCGTTCCTTTGATTGTCGAGAAACTTTCTTTATCCCCGTTTTATCGCTCTTCTCTTGTCATGGGTAGTATTTTTTTGGTGAAGAATGTTTTTCGACCCTTTAGTAAGAGATGTTTCGCCCGTTTTCCTGTGAGTATTCACAACTTTCCGTGTATTTGTCCAATTTTATCTTAATGCCATGTAGGTCAAAAGGGAAGAGGAAAAAGGGATATATACATATCTTTTGCAAAAGCTTTGTTAAAAAGGATTTTTTCTGAGAATGGTTTTTAGAAGAATGGCTGGCCGAGGTAGGCAAGTGGTTTAGGCTGATGATGAACAAGCACCTCCAAAATGAGTAAATCATTATTCGCATTAGCTCATTATTTCCTTTAAAATTAAGCGATGACCTGGATTGCGTATTGATTAAATGACCTTCCTAAGCCGTCTTTCAGTTTTCAGCTCGGGGTGTTACTTTGTCCTAACTTTTGCCTAGGCTACCCTCTTTGTTTGTGGGTCTCCTAGCGGACATTTTTTTTTATCCTCACTTTTGCCTAGGATACCCTTTTTGTTTATGGGTCTCCTAGCGGACCTTTGTTTTTTTGCAGCATTTGTGATCATCTTTCATTTCTTCATTAAAGGGGAATGCCCCTTACGCTAATTTTGTTTGGACTTTTATTCGCAAGTCATGCTGAATTTGATTGATTTTTTATGTGTCCCTTATCGCATATTAAGCCATTTTTTGTAATGACATCCTTATTTCGAATGCACTTGTTCCTTTAAGGTTTGTTAACGAGGCTTAGAGTAGGTAAAAGGGAGAAGAGAAATGGAAATAAAAACATGGCATTAAAGTAGAATCTTCAATTTACACGTGCCCATTTAGTCTATCTTGAGGGCCTGAACATGTCTCAAGTTCGTGATTCATATACAGGAATACGAGAGAAGACATTCTTCAACAGGATCTAGTTGACTTAATCACCAAAGTCATCCCACAGGTTACTTGGATACTTGCGCTCTGAAAGATTTCGTATAGAGCAGGGGTGGTCGTCCCTCCCTTCCTGGGTTCTGTCGTTGGCTGGTACCCCAAGCCTCGTCGCCCTGTGTTGCCTATGTAGTTCAGGAACTCTTTTACCCCTTGAGCTCTCTTTCCAAGTTCTTGTCCCGATCGATAGCCATTTTTGAATAAGATTCGTGCTGCCGGGTTCTTGTTTGAATTCTTTTCTACATGAGCGATTTCCAGTGCTTGGAAGGCCGTTTCCACTGCTTCTTCGGCCGCATCTACATATGGAACAGTCAGCGGTTTGCTGATAATCATATCCTCCTCCGCTTGAACGACTACTAGCTTATTATCCACTACGAACTTGACCTTCTGATGAAGCGTGGAGGGTACTGCCCTTGCTTAGTGTATCCATGGCCTTCCCAAGAGATAGCTATAAGCGGGCGCAATATCCATTACTTGGAATTCTACGTTGAAAACTGTGGGTCCCACTTGAATGGGTAGGACGACTTCTCCCATCACTTCTCTTCGAGACTCGTTGAAAGCTCGAACGATCATATTGCTTGGTTGCATCTGAGCTTCTTTAACCATTAGCTTGTCAAAGGTGCCTTTAGGCAACACGTTCAGCGAAGACCCGTTATCTACCAAGACTTTGGTGATGAGAAAATCCTTGCACTTTACGGATATATGCAATGGTTTATTGTGGTTCGGTCGACCATTGGGTATCTCATCGTTGGTGAAGGTTAAATGATCGTTAGCCGTGAGGTGTCTCACGATCCCTTCAAACTTGTCTTGGGATATGTGGTGTGCCACGTAGGCCTCATTCAAAACTTTCAACAGAGCCTTTCGATGTGGTTTAGAGCACATGATCAGCGAAAGTAAAGTGATTTTTACGGGGGTATGGTTAAGCTGATCAATGATGGAATATTCGCTTTGTCGAATGAACTGAAGAAATTCATCTTCTTTATCGCACTCCGTTCTTCCTTCCTCTTTGTCCTTTCCTTTCGGGGATTTATTTCCGAAGTCCTTGGAGGTATAAATGCGTCCACTTCTAGTCATTCCTCGGATCCCGATGATATTCGATGATTCTAACGACGACAAGTTTTGAATATCATAAACCCATGGTACTGCCTTGTCGCTTTCGTAGGGGAAAGGACTTGGCACTCAGACGGTAAGCTTGGGCGCGTTTTGCCGTTTGTTTTCTCCAGTATTTGCTGAATTTTCATGCAGTGCTTCCTGATATGAAACCTCGAGTTTGCATTTGACGATAAACGATTTCATTATCTAGTTAACATGTACAGATTAGATTTTCCTTTTTATTCCTTATAAATTTACCATAAAAGTGTATGTTCTAAATGAAATGCAATTTAGGATGCAAAGACAATCGAGGAATTCAACAAATATCATTCTCATTGATTTGTTTGTTTAGTGAACATTCATCACACAATGCTTTTCAGTATGTTTTGGCAAAAACGTAGGAGTCTGAAGAAACTCAAGCTAGGTTGGCACATAGGTACGCTATCTTCTGCATCCAAAACATGCCTCTTCATTCCCTCTACTTGTTCGTGGACTGCCATGCTCATGTGATCGCAGACAGAGCGTGTTTCTTTGGCCTTCTCCTAATAGTATCCATTCATTGTTTTCATCTCATGTACCGCCTTTAGAGCTTTATCTCTTTGACGGGTGATTTCCTTGAGTAGCTCAAGCCCCCTTTCTTCCTTTTGTCGAAAATCAATGATGGTCGCGGCTTGTTCTTGCATGATCTCCCATCAGAATTGAGCTTCACTTTGGGCCTTGAATATTTCTCTCTGGGCTTTCTCTTTTGCTAGTGTCTCTTCTTGGAGTCTGTCTTTGAGTTGTGCTACATTTGACGAAGTTTCCATAAATGGCCTGCCTGAGTGAACTTTTGGAGTTTTCACTGGCTGGACATTTATATCGGCACATTCATCCTTTAGCCTCTCAATCTCCATGTCTTTTTTCTTACATTTCTTTTGCAAACCATCAATGCACATCTTGGATTCCTCATCCTTTTCTTTGAGAGCTTTTATCTGGGCTTCCAGAATTTCTATCTTTTTGATCAGGGGATCAATTTGATGTTGTTCGTTCTGGGCTACCGTCTTGGTCATGTTCGTGGCTTCACCTTGATTTATCCATTTTCGATAATCATCTGAGGCGGTCACCTGAGGTTTACCGAGCTCGCTATCTCCAAAATAAAGTGGCCTCTTCCAAGCCTCTCGTATGGTGTTAACTTGTGATTGCTGCCCTGAGGTATAAGAAGCAAATGCCGCCGAAGTCTTCTTGATTTGGTAGAGTTTGTGTCCTTCCAAGTTGTCTTAACACCAACTTTGGGGAGTAGGCTATGCATCCTCTTAATCCCATCAAAGGTAGGCTAGAGAACTGGCCACACCGTACTAACACGTGACTCGATCTAAACCAGGGGCACATCCATGTGAAAGTGTTTTCAGTGCATCCCTCCATTTCAGCTTTCCACGCCGTGGCATACTTCCTTGATGATGGAATCCTAGGGAAACTTCTTAATGGGTCAGGGAATTTTCCCATATGGTTCTTGGCGAAGAAATGAGTGTATGCCCACACATAAAGGAGTGGATTGCACCATCTCATCTGTTTTCCTGATTTTTGACGGCAAAGGTCGATTGCGAGCAAGGTATCGACGAGGATGGAAGGTACAAGGCTGTTGGAGCGGGCGTCCCAAGCAAGGAAGGCGTCGATTGCGGCATGATCTACCACCTTCTCATGAAAGGGGAAGAGGATTATCCCAAACAAGATTAAGGCTAGGGTCTTGTTGAAGGTTATCCAATTCTTTTGGTGACCCAGAAGGGAAAGATGTTCTTCCAAAATGGAAAGCTTCCATCCTTTGACTACTCCATTGCCTTCTAGAATGGACAAGTGAGAGGGTAAGCCAATTAATTTAGCCACCTTATCAGAGGATATACGTCCTTCTTGAACAAAGAAAACTCCTCCCGACTTGGGCCACTTAGTCATTAGGTCATACTCCTCTATAGTGGGGACTATATCAAAGTGTGGGAATCGGAAGCAACGAAACTCTGGCTCCCAAAAGTGTATCAAAGCTCTCATGAAAGCAGGGTCCACAGGTATTCTCAACAAGTCGAGGATTCTTCCGTAACATTTTTCAAATTCTGTTTTGGCTTCTTTTGGCATCGAGGCACATATCTCATTTACTCGAGGCATTGCAGGATTTGGAATGTTCACCTTCCTCAACGGTCCACTCATGCTACTATCTATAGCTTCCATATCTAAAAAAAATGGTTTATCATCCTAAAAGAAATGATGGGGGGTTTGTCTACCTACTTTTATCATGTTTCCTTCTAAGATTTATGATGCGAAAGGAAAAATAGAACATATGGAAAGGCATTCTTTTTTTTTGTTTATTTTTTTTGAGTTATTACCCCCTTAATCTCAATCATTTGGAAAATGATATAATAAATGCAACAAACATATGCTCATACAGATGTACACCCGCGAACAGTCACATTCGAATCCTTAGTTTGTTGTCCTTGTAAGAAAAGTGCGTTGTATAGGACAGTTCTAATCTCACTGGTCTTAAGGCCCCCAAGGTGCCCCCATTATAGGGACCCAGTATCTCTGTCACTCTCACCTAGCAAACTCTAAGGTCTGTCGCAGTATTTTGGGCTAGAGTAACCGGTTATCACCTTGAGTGTGATTTTTGACAAGGCTCGCAGGCTCCAAGGCCAAACTTGGGCCGGTTATACGTCAACCACTCCCTATGTTTAATACCCTCATGCCTCGGGTGTAGGGGGAACTGCTGTGTGCAAAGGTTTGTCTACAATTTTTATTCCAAACAAGTGCTGAATTTAAACAAGCAAACAAATATGAAAGCCAAACAAATAAAACAAACAAAATAAAGGGGAAAAATATTTAAATTATTATTTTTATTTTACTAACTTCATCAATTAAATGGGCCTAACCCTCTTTTAACGTCCCCAGTGGAGTCGCCATTTGTCGCAACCTAAAAATTTTCGATCTCGTGACTAATGGTTTAGACATCCTTTTGAAAGTCTCATCAATTAAGGAATGCCCGGACACCAGACTAATCCCTAATTAATGGTTTTGATAAATGAGTTCATGGAGTCGCTACCAATGTTTTACTAAAAACATTGGAAAAAGAAAAGGTTTTTAAAAATCTAATAATGGCCTTGATAACCAGAATTGGTTTCAGGAGTTGGTTACGTGCCTTAATTGGTACCCTATGGTGAAGTTAACATTATAAATGATAATAATAGAAATATTAAATTCCCTTTTATTAATAATTATTTTCATGCTTGAAATTTAAATTATACAATTAACCCTAAAATGTCTACATGATTATTTTTATTATAACAATATTTATTATAAATAAAAAATAAAAAATAAAAAAAGAAAGAGATTAACTGAAATATCTCTTGAATGAGCTCTATTGAATCTTCAAAACAGGAAGATTCTAGGTGCTTTGTGGCAACCTTTCACACTAAAATGCCTCACAAAATCTCAAGAAATACAAAAGAGAGAGAGAGAGAAAGAGAGAAATTTTGAGCTCTCAGGAGTTTGGACGAAATTTTGGACTTCAGAGAACTGTGCCCAAGCTGTCTATTTATAGACTTCAAAAAGTGTCTAGAACGGCCCATTCCAAAATCAGAACGGCCAGTTCTGGATCTGACTGTTCCGTGTAAATTTTGGAACTGGAACGGCCCGTTCTGAAACTAGAACGGCCCGTTCCAGCGATGAGATTAACACAATGTTGGTTAGGTTGGAACGGCCATTCCAAAGAAGGGTTTTTAGGCCCTTTTCATAACTTGGAATGGCCCGTTCCAGTTTGGGAACGGTCCGTTCTAGTTTGGGAACGGTCCATTCCAGTTAAGGTTTTAACCCCCTTTTTATGAGCTTGGAACGGTCCGTTCCAATTTAGGAACAGTCCGTTCCAAACTAGGGTTTTAGGCCATTTTTAGGAACTTGGAACGGCCCGTTCCAAATTGGGAATGGCCAGTTCCGTTTTTGCAACAGTCCGTTCCAAGTTACTAAAACTAGCTTGTTTGGGCTTTTGGGCCTTCTAATGTCCTGTCCTGTTGTTTGCATGCCTCGGGAGCTCCTTCCCTTCATAACAGCAATCCATTTCCTTGTTTGTATTCCCCTGGACGAAATTGGGTGTCTACAATAGTCTTTATTGCTCTGTACCGAAAACTCACTTGAGCGTCGGAGTGCCTTTGCAGGTACCCTCCCCCACCTCTCAGAGACAGGATTTAGCCAACACTTGGAATTTAGAAGAGTAGTCAGTAGGAGCGACAAGAGGAGTGTTTCTGACAGGAAAATTTTTGCGCCCACCATGGGGCCGAAACCAAAATGGTTTTCGACCCTGAACTGAGATGGTAGCAACAAGAAGTCAATAGGAAAACACCACCGTTCACAACCTTGGAATGCCTAGAGAGCCCACAGAGCAGGCAAATCAAACGAGAAAAGGGATGGAAGAATCGTACAAATATCGTTCGCATCCGGCTAACCCATCGTCTTCCATATAACAACTAAGGGCCGAAATGTTGGAATTGAAAAGGCTTCGGGAAAAAGATGCCTGCGAACTGTTCGTTCTAAGAAAGGAGAACGCGGAACTTAGGAGTGACAACTGCTCCTGGCATCCATCCCACAGCACCCCCAACACCTGGTCTACACACGATCAGGGGGAATCGTCAGGGTGGTACAAAGAGCCATGAATTCCCGGGCTGCCTGAGGGAGCAACGACAACAACACTTGATCAACAACGATGACCAGGGAGAACACCGTTCACTCCCAAGATCGCCAGCACACGTTTACCGGATAATTGGAAAAACTTGGCTCTGGAACGATATGATGGAACTACCAACCCAGAGGAGAACCTTGATGCCTTTATCTCCCAAGTCAGTTTGTTCACCGAGGAGGATGCCATCATATGTAAATTATTTCTACATCGCTGAAAGGACCCGCGTTGTGCTGGTTCACAAGACTTCCCCCAGGATCGGTAGATTCCTTCGCAAACTTATCTTCTCGTTTCGTTATCCAATTCGCCACGAGCCAACCTCACCAACTCACCTCCCTATCCTTGGTCAATATTCGCCAAGAAAAGAAGGAACCCCTAAGAACCTTCATGGAGCGATTCGGGAAGATGACCCTCTCAATCCGAGATCTAGACCCGGTCATAGCTATGCATCACCTTACCATAACACTATGACCAGGGCCTTTCGTGAACAAGTTGTGCAAGAAGCCACCCTGAGTCTTGGATGACCTAAGGAAAAGAGCTACCAAGTACATGTCGATGGAGGAATTAGCCGAATTTAGGAATTAGAATCGACCCGATCTTTTTCTAGAAAAAAGGGAAAAGGAACACACTTCTAGATCCGGCCTGTGTGATACTCTCGATCGTAAGAAGAATGCTAGAGGACCCAGGTATGCACAATACACGCCCCTTAATGCTAGCAGAGCCAAGGTACTGGAGCAAGCTCTGGCCACCGAGGTCCTAACAGTGCCCGTCGTGCTATGACTCTACCCCATGCGGATAAAACGAAAACATGTTAGTTCCATAAAAACCGGGGACACACCACCAAGGAGTGCACGACCCTTCGAGATCGCATTGAAGACCTCATCAAATTAGGACATCTCTAAAGTTTCATTCAATCCTCAAGTAGGAGAAAACATGACGGCTACCCGAGCAGGAGAGACCAGAAAAGAGAAGACCAAGAAAGAGCACCTCCAAGGTACAAGCATTGGGACCGCAACAAGTCTCATGAGCGGAATGATCAACAACGAGATCAGAATCAGCCCAAAAGGGTAATAAATACGATCTCCGGAGGATTCGTAGGGGGAGAAGGAACCTCTTCTGCCTGAAAAAGACACTTGAGAGCAATTCGATCGATAAATACAATAACACGAATAGAATCCGTTCATATGCCGCCTATCACCTTCACCAACAAGGATTTCCAAGGGGTCGACCCAGTGCAAGACGACCCAATGGTAATCAACATAGAGATTAATAACTGCATCGTGAGGAAAACACTAGTGGATTAGGGGAGTTCAACTGATATATTATATTGGAAGACGTTCGAGTAGTTGAGTATTCCTGAACACGAGTTAACACCCTACAATGAGTCCTTGGTCAGATTCTATGGTGAACGAGTGGATACCTAAGGAACCATCGACCTGTACACCTATTTCAGGGATGAACAAGTAGGACGTCGAGTCAAGGTGCAGTATGTGGTGGTACACGCTAACACCTCGTACAATATCCTGCTAGGACGACCCTCTTTGAACAAGCTCCAAGCCATCGTATCCACCCCACACTTGGCTATGAAGTTCCAATCCGAAACCGGCACGGTGATCACCTTGCACGCCGACCAAAAAATGGTCCGTGAATGCTACTTTGCCAGTTTAAAGGTGCAGCCGACTCCTAAACCTCAGAATGATATTAATGTGATTGGGGACACTCACAAAGATAGAAAGGGAATAGATCTGGAGCTGGATCTGAGATCATATGAAGAACACAAAGTTGAACCAATAGAAACAACTATCCCGTTTCAACTCGGGAAAAACAACGAGACAGTCACATACTTGAGTTCCTAGTTGTCGAAGGCCAATGCAAAAGACATCAAGCAAATAATCGTTAAGTACTCTGACTTGTTCGCCTGGACGGCAGCCGACATGCCAGGCATTGACCCAAGCTTTCACTGCCACCGTCTCTCAGTGTGTCGAGACGCCAAACCAATCGCCTAGAAGAAAAGAAAGATGGGAGGAGAAAGGGCACATGCGGTAAAAGAAGAGACGACCAAACTGCTTAAGGCGGGGTTTATCAGGGAGGTCAAGTACTCCAGATGGTTGGCCAACGTGGTAATGGTTAAGAAGGCCAATGGAAAATGGAGGATGTGTACCGACTACATGGATCTGAACAAAGCATGCCCGAAGGATGCTTATCCCTTGCCACACATTGATGTGTTGGTTGACGCATCAGCAGGCCATCAAATGCTAAGTTTTCTCAACGCTTATTCTGGGTATAATCAGATACCCATGTATCCACCAGACGAGGGGAAAACTACGCTCATCACGGAGTTAGCCAACTTTTGTTACAAAGTCATGCCATTTGACTTGAAAAACAAAGGGGCAACCTACCAACGACTCATGTATAAGATATTTTGTCAGTAGATAGGGAAATGCATGGAAGTATACGTTGACGACATGGTGATAAAGTCTAACTCTACCGATGACCACATCAGAAACCT